CCTAATTAGAGATGTTGGCAGCCCAAATTGGACCACACAAACCTTTCACATACTGAATTGGCCCATAGTTAAGGATTTTCCCAGTCTGAGTAGCAATTGCCAGTAAAATATACAGAGAACAGGTTGTTTTAGCAATTGCTTTGTTTAGAAAAGGAAGCATACATTATTCTGTTTCCCTTCCTTTTCAGCACCAAGACAAAGAGCCAGGAAGGGGGAAATAACAGATCTTGAAATGTTCCATTCTCATGTGAACTATCCCTCGCTAGTAAAAGTGATCTTAATGGCACAGGGATGATAATTTTCACCAAACCTGCATAGCCTGTTGTCCCAGAAGCCCTGACCATCTTGTCAAATGGTCTGGAAGTCCAAAACACTTGGACTTCTACTGGTAGAGCATGCCTGATTTACATGATATCTCTGCATGATTATATACAAATATGTCACAATAAATTCAATGTTCAGATTTAACAAATATGAATTTAATATGATGTGTGGAATTAATAGAAGAATGGAATGATGTGTGGTTGGAGTTAATAATTTAATATAATATTAAGGCCTGCAATGACTAATTACCTGCTTACTGGAACTGTGATCAAAACCTGCTAATGAAAATTGATAAGAACTGTGACAATGGTTCTTTCAAGTTATGGAAATGTTTGCAATATTCCTTATGTTAAGAAGGAAGTCAACAAAGCCTTGTATTTGTCAACACCAATCAAGAAGAGTCAACATCTGGCCAGGAAACTGAGATGGATCCAGGATGGAAGTCGTCTATTATTAATTTACAACTTTAGGACTACATCAACAGAATATTCCTATAAAAGACTCAGTCTAATAATGCTCAAATTGTGACCAACCTGAGGAGTCTGGTTCACCCCCCATGCTCTGGGAAGGAGAGAGATGGTGTATTTGGAGAGTGTCAGATATGCTATGGGAAAGGATGATTCTGATCACTTTGGGGCTTCTTTCTCAACGGAAGAGGAAGAAGTGCGCTTTTGGAGTCTTACATTTTGTGCAGGGAGTCAGGTTCTGGTGTGTGGAAAACAGAGATCTGGTCGTTGGCATTGTTCTTAGGGAAAGAAGTTTTGGCATTTTGGCGTTTTGAAGTTTTGACGTTATGGAAGTTTTGGAACTATACGTTGACAGGCTGCAGGAAAGCGGGGTCTGGCCTAACAAGTGCTTCTAACAAGTGAAGCGTAATATAGAATCACACCGGAGGACCTAAAGCGGCCCATAAACACTTCTGGAGAAGGGGAATATATTTTGGAGTGTGAGTAAGTGAATCTGTGGATGACAAGGGGATCACATTGTGCTGCTGATTAAGGTTTCCAGGTCAGCAGCATCCCTGGCCCTAAATTTTTGCATTCATCAACAACAAAGGACAGGACCACAACCACAAGACCGCCACCTAAACATAGTAAATATATAACAAATACCAGCAACCAATAAATATGACATTTATAGTAAATATGAAAATAAAGAAATGAACAAATATGATATTTATGGCAACTGTGAACACCAGAGAACTGAAGATATATATCAAGTAAAACAGAATATTATGCTAAACATACAAATAACATATAACAAAAATAATTTGACATTCCATGCCAAGAGAACAAATGAAATAGATCACAATATAAAGATGTGAAACATAAGAGACCAAGATTTATACTGTAAAATATAACCACACTGTAGAAACGAGTAGCTGTTGTAAGAGTGATGAACTTCTGATTGATAACAAAGAAGCAAAGAACAAAAGCTAGAAAATGATGGACAGGCTGAAAATCACATGCAACCAAAGTCCAGCAAATATTTTCTGGGAGACTGTAAATCACATGTAACCATTTGTACAAGAATTTTAAGTCTTCTTTAGAGGCAATTTCACAAGCTGGATCTACACTGCCATATAATCCGGATTATCAAATCAAATAATCCAAATTGTCTGCTTTGAACCATATAATCCAAAACTGATCATTGGCTATCACTCATGTCCAAATATGATATGAGTGTAGAGTTTTGGCGGCAGGTCTATAGGTGACTGTAGAGACCTATTATTGACCTGCATGTTCTTTCGTAGTGAGGATATTGGTATCCAGATGGAAGGCGAGCCAGGTCAGAGTTGGCTTTACGTCAGGCATGTAGCCAGGGGGGGGGGCTTGAGGGGCTTCAGCCCCCCCCGAAATTCTCATGGTGGTTCGCGAAAAGGCCTTACTGGTGCATTATTTAAACTGTTATGTTTATTCATATCATGGGGGTATTGGGGTAATGATACAAAAGGTTTGCTAGGGTAGACCCTCTTTCACTCAAACTCAGCCCCCCCCCGAAACTCAGCCCCCCCGAAACCCCCCCTGAAAATTTTTTAGCCCCCCCCCGAAACGAAATCCTGGCTACGGGCCTGCTTTACGTGTCTTCCTTTTGACACGTTTCTCCCTTTCTTCCTCCCTTCGTGCCTCTTTAAATTCCACAGCATTTTTGGTAACAGCTGACCTCCAGTTAGAACAGGGCTTCCCAGTTTTCAGTATCTATACCATAGTTTTTGAGGTTGGCCTTAAGCCCATCTTTAAATCTCTTTTCCTGTCCGTCAACATTCCATGTTCCATTCTTGAGTATAGAGTATAGTAACTGCTTTGGGAGGCAGTGATCGGGCGTTTGGACAACATGGCCAGTCCAGCAAAGTTGATGGCGGAGGATCACCACTCCAGTGTTGGTGGTCTTTGCTCCTTCCAGAACTCTGATATTTGTCCACCTGTCTTCCCAAGAGATTTGCAGGATTTTTCGGAGTCAATACTGATGGAATTGTACCAGAAGTTGAGTGTGATGTCTGTAGGTGGTCCATGCATATAACAGGTTTGGGAGGATAATGACTTTATAAAAAAGCGTCTTGGTCTCCCTATGAATGTTTCGATCCTCAAACACACCCTGCTTAATTTGGAAAAATGCTCCACTTGCAGAGCTCAAATGGTTTTGTATTACAGTATTGACTTTTGTGGAGAGGGGGCTGCCAAGGTTGCGGAAATGATCAACATTTTCTAAAATTACACAATTAAGATGCATTTCTGGCACTGCAGAAGGATTGGCTGGTGCCTGCTGAAAGAGCACTTTGGTTTTCTTGATGTTCAGCGACAGGCCAAACTTTTTGTATGCTTCTGCAAAGGTGTTTAGAGTTGCTTGTAGAACTTCTTCTGAATGAGCACAGATTATATTATCATCAGCCTTTTGGTGTTCTATAACAGTTGTTGTGACTTTGGTTTTGGCTTTCAGTCTGTTGTGGTTAAATAGCTTGCTATCTATCTGACAGATGATTTCCACGCCAGGAGGAAGCCTCACATCAACAAGGTGCAGTATCATAGTGATGTAGATAGGGAATAAGGTTGGAGCAATAATACATCCCTGTTTGATACATAATTCCACCTTAAATGGGTCACTTTGGGAGCCACTGCTGTCCAAGATTTCAGCAGGGATCCCATCAGATCTGCTGGTTTTGTTATTTTTTTGTTAGCTGATGGCATTGCTGACTTCTTCCAAACTAGGCAGTGCGGCAAGCTCGTCCCTGGTTTGTTGTTGCGGGATTTGTGAGAGAACCATTTCAGCCACATTGGAGCTGCGATTCAAGAGGCTTTGGTAGTGTTCTTTCCAAGGTAGTTCAATTAATTTTTTTTGTCCTTCAGAAGTTTGGTTCCATCTGATGAGCATAGAGGGTGTATGCCATGGTTTCTTGGTCCATAGATGACCTTTGTGGCTTTGAAAAATCCCTGAGCATCATGGATATCTGCCAGGTGTTGGATTTCTTCAGCCTTCTTTGTCCACCAGATGTTCTTGAGTTCTCTTGTCCTTTGTTGGACCTCAGCTTTTGCATTGGCGTAGATTTTTTTCTTAGCAGTACAGTTGACGTCTCTCTGCCATGTTTAGAAGGCTTTCCTTTTCTTGTCAATTAGCTGCTGGAACTCATCATTTTTGTCAAACGAATCTTGATGTTTCTTGGTTTGATATCCAATAGTTTCTTCGCAGGCTGTGATGATGGAGGTCTTCAGTTTGTTCCAATGTTCCTCAACATTTTCAAGGTGTTCTATGGGTAGATGGTCCTTGAGTGCTGTTTGGAGAAGGGCTTGTTTGGAGGGCTCCTGAAGGGCTTTTTGTGCCTTGTCTTTCTTCCTTGGAGTTTGCGCTTGGGGGTGATCTTGATAGCCATCGGATTAGCTTGTGGTCTGTCCAGCAGTTGTCAGCATCTGCCATGGCTCTTGTGAGAAGCATGTCACGGCAGTCTCTGACATGTGTGATTACGTAGTCTAAGGGGTGCCAATGCTTTGACCAATGCTTAGAAACATTTATTGCTAATTCAACTAAATACAAGACATGTGTTTTTTGTTTGTCCTTCTGTTCTCTTGCTGACTTCTAAAAATACGTCTACTTTAAAACAAGAGATTTTATGTCCTTGAATGGAAGCAAAAACCTACCAGGAAGTTCTAATAAATATGTACATATATTGAGTTTATAGTAGGCTTAGCCAAAGATTTTTTGTTCTTTTTCTTTGTTGACAAAAAGTCTTTTGAAGTTAGTGATGTAATGCTTTTTATGTACAACTGAATTGTAAGAGTAAAAAATGGCTGACGATAATAAATTTCATTTTGAGAATAATTCAGTATGGACATATTATTAAACGATATATACCACAGGTTTAAGACTGTACAATTATTTCATGATTTTTGTAGAAAAAATATTGTAATGCTTATGGAAGTGATGGATAATTTTAAAAAGACGCAAATAAAAGAGAAGGGGGAAGACATTATTTTGCTCTATACAGACAAGTAGCTTTGCATTAGCCCTTAGCATGTATAGACTGTTAACGGGAAATCAAATTGGAAGGAATGGACCAAATTTAAATAACTGAGCTATTCATGCACAATCAGGGCAGTCCAGTGCTCAACCACTCAACCACTATATCATGTTTGCTCTACTTCCATAATGTGAAAGGAAGAGGAGGAGGAGGAGGAGGAGGAGGAGGAGGAGAAAGTAAATGTAATAAATTCCATAGGCAAAAAATAATAGCACCACCAGTAATTTCATTTATAAAGGTTCACTAGTACTGTCATTGCACATAATATATTACTTCCAAGCTTTGTCTGAAATGTTTATTTGTTACTTTTCCAAAGACAACCCACCATTGCTTAGGCTGGCTTGTATGGGTGGGATCTGGAATTCAACAGCATCTGGAAAGTCCTAGGTTTTCTAGACTTTATCTAGACCTTTCTATTGTTCTGAGAGAGAGAAAAGAGATGATCTGAAAGAAGCCGAGAAGAATCCAGAAAATAACATTTTCAAGCATAGAATCTCACTGAGAAAACTTGATCTTTTCAAAAGCTGGAAAGTCATCTCTGTAGCAATCAATTGGTTTGCAAAGATTTAGTTTGGACCAAATGGTCTTAAAACTGGCAGAAGAATTTTTCACCAGAGAGTGAGAGGGAAACTTTGTGAATTACAAATTATACAGAGGATTTTTGTTTTTTGTCCGTCAGTCCCTTGCCACATGATTAAATGTAACCTCAATAGATTCTGTACACTGAATGTTATTGCTTGCTGAAATTCTGCTGAATTTGGCCCAATATGCACAGGATTTGTAGAATAGGTAGTGTGTGTTAAAACAACAAGACACAGCGAATACTGAAAGACAAAAAAGAAGAAAACATTAATTTCTGGTCAAAAATCCATAAAAATATCCATTATGTATCAAAATAATAATTCTCCAAAATAATAATTCTTCTTCGGGTGGATAAGAATACTATGAAACAGTGGATCTAAAGCAGTGGTTCTCAACCTGGAGTCCCCAGATACCCCTGGCCTACAACTACAAACTATTATTTTGGAGAACTTGACGTCCATTATACTCTTCACATTTCTCCATCTGAGGAAGAAGTTAGTCGAAACCAGTCTGGTTAAGAGGATATTCTCTACGTGGATATCCTCTTACAACGGACTGGAAACTCCACTCAAGAGTATCTTTCTCTAAAGTAAGGGATCTACAGCAAGAAAGACTCTACTTTTGTTACTAATGTAAAATCACTGTATAAACAACAGTTTTTTATTCACTGTATATTGCTCAATGCTGCATCATATAAGTTGGTTATATGTTTAATATTGCATTATATAAGCTGGAAAAAAAACATTTACCTTTGTGATTTATGTACTATGACTTGTAGTGGATTTGTGTTTGTTTTGTAGCTGCAAGGCCATTCAATGCTAATCACGGTGGCCAACTGCAACATTCACACATACCTCCAACAGACAAGAGTTCTTTCTCCCACCTTGAATATTCTACAGATATATAAACCTCACTTGCCTAGTTTCCAACAGACCTCACAACCTTTGAAGATGCCTGCCATAGATGTGGGTGAACTGTCAGGAGAGAATGCTTCTGGAATATGGCCATATAGCTTGGAAAACTCACAGCAACCCAGGGATAATTTCTACTTTAGACTTCCCCATCAAATGGCAGCTTCTCTTGTCTTGAAATTTTACTTTGAGATGAAATAATTGGATTTAAATAGAGGTTGCCTGTGTTCAAATGCGTGTTCAGACATAGATTACAAATGATATTTCTGGGCAACCTAACCCAATTCTAAGAGCTGTTACATGGATAAAAACCCATTATCCTGATCTTTTTGAAGAAAAGGGGAGGACAAAAGCATTGAAAATCAAACAAATATGATGGAAAACTTACCATTTACCACTGTTTAGCAGCTCAAAGCCTTCACCAATTTTCTCAAAAGGCAACACATGACTTATTAATGCATCCGTATTAAATTTATTTGCCATATAATCAGAAACCAGTTTAGGGAGAGCATCTTTCAGCTTCCAACCTGGGAGGGAAAGGAAACCAAGTATGTTCAGACACTTCATGATTTATGTACAGGCCTGTAGCGAGGGGGTGGTTTTAGGGGTTCAACCTCCCCCCCCCTGAAATGTTTCAGATTTTTTTTTTAAAACCTGGTTTACTCATGAATTTTAACTGGTTAACCAAATCCCCATGCTAAGTCTATAAGATGCAAAAAATTAAGAGTCCCTCCAGAACTGTAAGCACTATCTCAAGCAAATATTGACAATTTATTCACACTGTAATTACTTGCAGCAATAGCCGATGTAGTGAAGCAACCAAGTTGTGTGTGCGTGTGTTGAATGCTTTCATTAAGGAGGCCAGACTTGGTGGAGGTGGTTGACAGGGGTGGAACTGCAGGCTATTGAAGGCTGGTCCGCCCCCTGCTGTGCTCTTTGCTTCAGCGTGAGCTAGGAGGCAGGTTTCAACCCCCCCCCTGAAATTTTCAACCCTCCCCGAAATTTTCAACCTCCCCCCCTGAAATTGTCAACCCTCCCCGAAATTTTTTTCTGGCTACGGCCCTGTTTATGTATATAGTTTATAGACAGGTAATTGTAGTAATGGGCCTGAAATGTGTCTCATCTGTTTGATTCATGTTTCCTTTTTGTTCCGTCAATTCAGATGGCACAAAACAGGAAGGCCCGTCCTGGAACGAAAATGGTTTTGAAACGAAAGGGCAGGTGGGAGCGGGTACCACCTCCAAGCCTGCTTTTTGGATTGATTGCCGCATGCATAAGCCCAAAGCGCTATGGCCTGAAGCCGAGCGCCGAATAAGGAATGCTTCTTACTCAGCTCTTGGCTGCAGGCACCCCGGCACTTTGATTTATGCGCTCAGGCTTGGCAGGGCCTGCAGCCGAGCACCGTGTAAGGAGTGCTCCTTACTCGACACTTGGCTGCAGGCCCTACCAGGCACATAGGGCCGGAGTGCTTTGGGCCTCCGGGTGGTCTCCCCCCCCCCAATAATGGGCTGAAAGAAAACAAAGCTTTTGGCCCCGAAAACAAACAAACAAACAAACAAAACCCCAAATGTCTGATCTCCTGATTTCAGGAGGCTCAGATGAAACAGATCCCCCCAAACTGAAAGCCGGGACACAAAACGGATGAAAGTAAGCCCTGAATGCACACGACTAGTCAATAGTTAAATTTTGTACACATTTTAGAAGAGGGAGAAACATTTGATTTTCATCTGTTAAACATATATTTGGTACAATAAAAGCCTAATATGGAAGGGAGGAAATCCTTCATTAATAAATACATAAATAATTATTGCCCCAAATCTAGTTTTGAAATGATTAATGTTCATTGATCCTTTTATATGATGTCCATTAATACTTTCTTTGGATTGTTGCACACAGATTCATTGGCAGCAGGCATGTAGCTGGGGGGGGGGGCTTTAGGGGGCTTCAGCCCCCCCCCCCCCCCAAATTCTCATGGTGGTCCGCGAGAAGGCCTTACTGGTACATTATTTAAACTGTTATGTTTATTCATATCATGAGCTGATCACCATGCTCAATATATCCCATATGCATGGGGTATTGGGGTAACGATACAAAAGGTTTGCTAGGGTAGACCCTCTTTCACTCAGACTGCCCCCGCCGAATCGAATCAAACTCAGCCCCCCCCCCCCCCCGAATCAAAATCCTGGCTACAGGCCTGATTGGCAGGCTCTACTTCCAGATCTTGAATTGAGATGTCTCCAATAAGCAACCAATAAGATTCTTGTTTTTATAGCACAGTGTGTCTACCCCTATGGCAATGCAATAATTGCACAACATATGCTGGGTATCTGGATTTTCTATCTACTATCTATCTATCAATCTATCTGTCTGTCTGTCTATCTAAGCTTTGCATAGGGAAATGTAAACACCCCAGTGGTGTTTGTTTTGCTGTCTGTGCCCCTGTTCATAAGATTTCACCACACTTTCTGTCCCTGTGATAATTGGATTTTGGAAAAAAAAATTGTTTGTTGTGGAAACAAGAATTGGTGAGAAAGCTTCAATGGAGACAACTTTTCCTCATGATAACTCTTCCAGGAGTGAATTTCCCTTCCAAGTGGAAGATTTCTCTCACTTCCTGTTGTCTCACTCCCTGTTTGTAACTATGAGTCATTTGTAAGCCAGATGTTTGTAACTTGGGGACTGCCTGTAAAGTACCTGAGGAACTGGCACCCAGGAAAAGGATATCCAGGTACAGGATACACATTCTCCAAAAGCAATCTCTGTCGTATGGTATTTGCAATAGATCAAGATGATGCATTGGCACTAAATAAGCAATTTATTGAGATCCAACCTGATCAATCTGTGGCTGACCAGTCTGACCATTGCAACTGATTTGGTATCATGGAGGAATGTAGGCTGATTTTAGTGACTCCAGGACCACGAGCCACGTATATTTGGCTTCAAGTTGCCTGTTGATTTATGATAATACCCAAGAATTTCACAACATTTTTTTTGGCACAGAATAATACACGGAGGACCCTGAGCCACGCACCACATATTTCTGGGATTTATTTGTTTTGCTGGAGTGCCCACTGCACCCACGCAAGGGCTTGGTCTATATCAACCCAGGATGCACTAGGATTGTGTCCAGCAATTGTGAGGACTCCCTTTCCATTGTTCATGCATATCCATGCATGTACAGTACCGTCTCCATATCCATGAGGGATAAATTTCCAGACTTTGTGAAGCCACAGATAATACCAAAGCCTATGGAAATTGCTCAAGAATACAACAGACTATGACCTAGAAAATGCCAATAGAGCAGTGGTTTTCAACCTTTCTAATACCACAACCCCTTAATATAGCTCTTTCTGTTGTGGTGACCTCCAACAATACAATTATTTTCACTGTAATTTTGCTACTGTTATGAACTGTAATGTAAATATCTGATATGCAGGATGTATTTTTATTCACTGGACCAAATTTGGCACATATACCCAATATGCTCAAATTTGAATGCTGGTGGGGTTGTGGGGGGGATTGATAGTAGTTGGTGGGATTTATAGTTAACCAACCACCAAAGAGCATACTGAACTCCACCAATGATAGAACTGGACCAAGCTTCCCACACAGAACCCCCATGACCAACAGAAAACACTGTGTTTTCTGATGATCTTTGGTGACCCGTTTGACACCCCTTTGCGACTCCCCAGGGATCCTGACCCAGAGGTCTATTGTGCTGCATGTGGATGAAAGAAACTGCAGAAATCAGTCTATGGTTGAAGAGGATGCATATAAATGAATGCCTGCCATTTTGCCTCTTCCTGCTTCTAGTGATGCATCGAACCACTGGACTTCCTGAAATCTAAACCAGATGAGAAAGTATACCAAGAAAAGGATAGGGAGAAAAACCACAGATTTTTGTCTTAGTTGGCTTGATTATAAGTGAGTTTGTTTTAGTCCATGTTATGGCTTTAGAGTAAATATTCTGAAGCAAAGAATATGGGCCTGATGAGATTCAGAGATATGACCAAGCTGGCTTTTCTGCCGTGTGCTGATTCAGTAACACATGCAGTAACTATCATAAAATCTTGTTGAACAAATTCTTACCTCCAATCATACTTCCAATAAGTTTCTTGCCAGTCAGGAGCTGTAAAGGACGGATACAGAGCTTGGATCCTGTGGGAGGTGCCCCAACCAGCACACAGACACCGTGACCAAAATGGCTGGATGCAAGAGCAGTAGCCTATTGTAGAGACAAAGAAAACCAAGAGAAGAAGCTGAAAAAAAATCAGGACATTGAAGGCTAAACTAGACATATCTTTGATCTGATCCAGAGTAGTTCACGTGCCACAGATGAAAATCAGGACATGTGGACAAGTAACACTGAAATGTGGTCAAGATGGCAAAAGGTATGAATGAACAAAAATAGATGAGGTATAAGAGTCTACAATTGTTCACTTTTTCCTTAGTTTACAGGGAAGGAACGTTCACAAGTAACTCATACCTCAGTGTCAACATGTCCAGCCACTTCGAAAGCATAGTCCACACCAAGCCCAGTCATCTCCACCAGCACCTCATTAATGGGTTTCTCAAAATCTTCAGGAGAGATGCATTCAGTAGCTCCCAGCTCTCTGGCCTTGGCAAATTTGTCTTTGTTAGTGTCAATCCCAATGATCCTGGATGCTCCAGCTGTTTTGCAGCCCATGATGACAGACAAACCGACACCTCCCAAGCCAAAAATGGCACAAGAGGAACCAGGTTCCACCTACAAGCAAATAAGCAAAATCTTAGTTGGGGATTAACTAAAATAGCATTGAAGTGCTTCTGGTACTAGTTGCTGGATTCTGGAGTTACTAGTGGCCCATGCCCTGTGAATGTGAATGGGGCTCTGTGTAAATCTCTGTGTAAATCATATTTAGTTGTTAGCAATGTTCTCTCTATGGAGCTTATCTGGCTCAGATACTGACCAGAGCCAAGTACTGTAGAAGGGTTTCATCAGACAAGTGTTCTAACAGGGCATGTCACCTTTAATGTGTCCTCAGAGCCAGTATTTGACTGGCTGGCATTGGACATGAGGATGGCTGGGAAATCTGTGGAGTTTACATTCAAAACAAGGAGGCTGTTTTGGAGCACCTGGACTCCAGAAGAACTGGTAAGCTCAAGCTGACGTACTTCCATCTCAAAGTATTTGAGGAAGAACAATTTCTGAAAGCATCTCATCTTCAAGAAGGAAGGAAACTCTGTTGGAGCATATAAAAAATCAGTTGGTGAGTTTGTTAACTGAAAAATGCAAAGCATGAAGCTGATTGATTGAGCCATGCTTGAGAGGCTAGCTGAGCTTGGGAGTTTTGGCAACAGTTACATGTTAAGGTTTTCTGTGCAGAAGCTTGCCAAGACAGTGAGTATATTTTTTGCTTCTGAGGTGCTGGAAGAAGATCTTTCACATGGAAACCCAAGGACCATCTGTATTTCTCTCAAAGGACATTGTGTGAGTCAATGCAACAGTTCACATGACTGTAAATATATTGCTCTGCATAACAAAGAGTAAACAGCTTATATTGCTCTGCATAACAAAGAGTAAACTGATCATCTGCATGGCATATTTTTTCTCTAGAATGACAGTATGTGGATTGGTAAAGACATGAACTACGTGTGATTTTCATTTGGCCACAACCTCTTATTTTAATTTTTAAAGTACATATATGGACTAATGCTTACCTGAGCATTATTAATAGCAGCCCCATAACCAGTAGAAAACCCACAGCCAAAGAGGCAGACTTTATCCAGAGGAGCATCATTACTGATTTTTGCAATGGAAACAACGGGGACCACTGTGTATTCGGAGAAGGTGCTGATCCACAGAAAGTGATGAATCTGTTTCCCTCTACAGGTGAACCTGCTGGTTTTGTCTGGCATCAGGTTTTGAAGAGGTTTGTAGATACTATGTGAGGAGATTCAGATTGATCTGTTTTATATATTGAGCTAAAATGATGTCAATATCGCCAAGAAACACAAATCATGAATAGCCAATACCATCAAAGATGATTATGATGATGCCCTTTCACCTCAAATTGGGACTCAAGGCACTCAAAAATCAAAAAAGGAAATATAAGTGAAACAGATAATAGGGCCAGGACTCATAGGGCCAGGAGTCCCACCAAATACATTACCCTACTTATCCATCTCACCCAGTTTTAAAATCCTATCCATTGTACTTGGCCATGTGTTTGTTTTGTACTATTTTTTCCATATACTGTATTGTATTGTATTTTATGCATTATTTTATGATTGTATGTTGTATTCGTTTTGCCTTGTTTTAACTGTTGGGCTTAGACTAATGTTAGCTGCCCTGAATCCCCTTGGGGAGATGGAGGCGAGGTATAAATAAAGTTTTATTATTTATTATTATAGGGTTGAAGTTACAAGATTTTTAGATTAGTAGGAGCAGTGCTACCTTTTTTAAACTTCTGAGTTTAACTGGTTTCCTCACAACAGCTTGGGAGAAAAGGGATTTTCTTAGTAACAATATATTTTTGGGAGCTACTCTTGTTGTCATGCAAAGTATTCTGGGGTGTTTTAGTTTTGAATGGACAACAAAAATCTATTAAATGTCCCAAGACTTGCTCTTAGATGCAGATTACTAGAATTGGTTTCTTGATATGGATTAACCTGGTATCGTACATTTTTAGGTTCTCCTGGAGAGCATGGCCTTAGACCAATGGTTTCCAACCTGTGGTCCATGGACCACCAGTGCTTCGCAAGAACTTTTTTTTGTCGTGTCAGGAGAGACTTGAGAAACTGCAAGTCGCTTCTGGTGTGAGAGAATTGGCCGTCTGCAAGGACATTACCCAGGGGACGCCCGGATGATTTGATGTTTTTATCATCCTTGTGGGAGGCTTCTCTCATGTCCCCGCATGAGGAGCTGGAGCTGGTAGAGGGAGCTCATCCGCCTCTCCCCGGATTCGAACCTGCGACCTGTCGGTCTTCAGTCCTGCCGGCACAGGGGTTTAACCCACTGCGCCACTGGGGGCTCCATTCGCAAGAACTAAAATATAGTCTGCAGGCTCATTGTTACTACACTGTTGCAATGAGAGCGACTGGTCTTGCAAAACCCTCTTATAGTGTCAAGGCATATTAAATATGGTTTTCTGTGGGTGAGCAGATGGTGACTACTGGATGGTATATGTACTGTATCAGAAACTAGAGCTGATGTGGTCTATCCAATGCAATTTTCTGAATCAGCACCCCAAATAACCAAACCAAATCTAAAGTTGACCAAAAACAGTTTCTCAACCCTTTTTGTACTAATGTTTGGAGAGGTGTCCCTGGTCAAGTGGTCCCTGGTCCAAAAAAAATAATAAAAGTTGGGAACCACTTTACCAGGAATTTACCAGGATACCAGCAAATGACACATACTTACTGGGATTTGAGGCAACAGTTAGCTTTAGGACTCAAACAGCAGGCACACTCTCCACATTGGGGGACACAAAGAGGAATGACTTTGTCACCTAAAGGTTTAGAAAAATAACCCATAACCACCATATTTTTTATATATACTAACACATTTGCAGACAAAACAAATGAGCCACTAAATTAAAACAAGTTCTAGGAGCAGAAATATTTTTTAAACAAAGCAATCCTTTAAAGAACATCTTTTAATGTCAAATATGAATTAGGTATGAAAACCCTTGCCTGGCTTTACACAAGTGACTCCTGGCCCGACGCTTTCAACAATCCCAGCTGCTTCATGACCTCCAATGATCGGGTACTCTAGGTGAGGGAAAATACCTTTCAACACATGGTCATCAGTCCGACAGATCGAAGTGGCCACAATCTGTGTGGAAAATGTAATACAGGCACATCATTTCAATATCTGCACTGTGTACCTGTAATTCATTCTGTCACATAAGAAAAGATGAGGAACGTGAGGTTTACACTTTTGAGTATTTTTTTTACCTTTACTCGAACTTCTTGGCTTTTGGGCGGTGCCACCTCCACCTCCTCAACAGAAGGCATTTTCCCAGCTTCCCAGATGATTGCTGCCTTGCATTTAATCACCTGTATATCAGACATAGCGGAAAATAGGTGAGAAATGGGTTGCTGTGAGTTTTCCGGGCTGCATGGAATACGTGTTTCAGAAGCATTCTCTCCTGACGTCTTGCTCACATTTATGGCAGGTATCCTCAGAGGTTGTAAGGTCTAGTGAAAACTAGGCAAGTGAGGCTTATATATCTGTGGAATGTCCAGGGTGGGAGAAAGAACTCTTGTCTGTTTGAGGCAAGTGTGAATGTTGCAGTTGGCCTCCTTGATTAGCATTGAATGACCTTGTAGCTTCAAAGACTGGCTGCTTCCTGCCTGGGGGAATCCTTTCCTTTCTCCCACCCTGGACATTCCACAGATATATAAACCCTTGTTCCAGAAGCATTCTCTCCTGACGTTTTGCCTGTATCTATGGCAGGCATCCTCAGAGGTTTTGAGGTCTAAATTTGTAATGTATTTTATATACATTAGAATTGATTTTGAAGGGTTCCAATTACATGTTGAGTATACATTATCCAAATTCCTTGGGACCAGAAGTGTTTTGGATATCTTGGAGCTGAGACCCAAATCAAGAGAGACAATGCAGCAGCAACTACTACTACTACTACAACTACTCTTGTTATTATTTAGCATCTCTCCTCACAGCACCTTATACACATAGGCTGAAAACTATGTTATAGAATAGTTATATCTAAAAGACCTCACAATGCCTGCCATAGATATGGGTGAAATGTCAGGAGAGAATGCTTCTGGAACACAGCCTCAGAGGAAGGCCAAGGTTCCTTGTGAACAAATAATCCCAGGAAAATCCCATGTTAAGAGTAACCTTGTGCTCGGCATAAATTGGAAATGGCTTCAAGGCACATCATGACTGCATGGTACTATAAACAGCTGAAATACCCTAAAGCAGTGTTTCTCAACCTGGGGGTTGGGACCCCTGGGGGGGGGTCATGAGGGGGGTGTCAGAGGGGTCATTAGAAAAAAATGTTGACCATTTCCGCTACCTTGGCAGCCACCTCTCCACCAAAGTCAACATCGACACCGAAAAACACTACCGCCTGAGCTCTGCGAGTGAAGCATTTTTCCGAATGAAGCAGAGAGTGTTTGAGGACTGGGACATCCGTAGGGATACCAAGGTGTTTGTCCTCCCAACCCTGTTATATGCTTGCGAAATGTGGTCTACAGAGGTCACATGCAACTCCTGGAATGATTCCATCAGCGCTCCGGAAAATCCTGCAAATCTCTTGGGAAGACAGGCGGACAAACGTCAGCGTGCTGGAAGAAGCAAAGAGCACCAGCCTTGAAGTGATGGTCCTCCGCCATCAACTCTGCTGGACCAGCCACCTTGTCTGGATGCCCGACCACCGTCTCCCAAAGCAGTTGCTCTACTCCGAACTCAAGGACAGAAATGGAATGTTGGTGGACAGGAAAACAGATTTAAAGATGGGCTCAAAGACAGCCTTAAAAACTCTGGCAAAGACACTGAGCCCTTGAGCGCTCCAGCTGGAGGTCAGCTGTGACAAGCAGTGCTGCAGAATTTGAAGAGGCACGATAGGAGGGTGAAAGAGAGAAATGTACCAAGAGGAAGGTGCACCAAGCCAACCCCGACCGAGACCGCCTTCTACCTGGAAACCAATGCCCTCACTGCGGAAGAAGATTCAGATCAAGAATAGAGCTCCACAGTCACTTATGGACCCACAAGAATACTGATCCTGGAAGACTATCCTACTCGGCCAACGAGGGATCGCCTAAGTAAGTAAAGTCAGAGGGGTCAACCAAAGACCATTAGAAAACACAGTATTTTCTGTTTGTCATGGGGGTTCTGTGTGGGAAGTTTGGCCCGTTTCTGTCATTGGTGGGATTCATAATGTTCTTTGATTGTAGGTGAACTATAAATCCCAGAAACTACAACTCCCAAATGTCAAGGTCTATTATCCCCAAGCTCCACCAGTGTTCACACTTGGGCATATTGAGTATCCGTGCCAAGTTTGGTCCAGGTCCATCATTCTTTGAGTCCACAGTGCTCTCTGGATGTAGGTGAACTACAACTCCAAAACTCAAGGTCAGTGCTCTGCAAACCTTTCCAGTTCTTTTCTGTTGGTCATGGGAGTTTTGTGTGCCAACAATTCCATCATTGGTGGAGTTCAGAATGCTCTTTGATTATAGGTGAACTATAAATCTCAGCAACTACAACTCTCAAATGACAAAAATCAATCCTCCCAACCCTACCAGTATTCAAATTTGAACATATTGGGTATTTCTGCCAATTTGGTCTAATGAATGAAAATACATCCTGCATATCAGATATTTACATTATGATTCATAACAGTAGCAAAATTACAGTTGTGAAGTAGCAATGAAAATAATGTTATGGTTATGGGTCACCACAACATGAACTGTTTGAAGGGATTGCGGCATTAGGGAGGTTGAGAAACATTGCCCTAAAGGCAGCAGGTCCTATCTGATCTTGGAAGCTAAGCAGGGTCAGCCCCAGTTAGTGCTTGGATAGGAAATTGCCAAAAATACCACGTGTTGCCGGCTACATTTCAGACAAAAAAGCTGGCAGATCCACCTCTGAGTATTGCTTGCCTTGGAAAATCCTATGGAATTAATGGGTTCGCTGTGAGTTAGCAGAAAACTTGAAGGTGTGCACACATGTATACACACATACGCAGAGGAATATATCTGTTAATTGATTTCCTGCAAACCGTAAAATGAATCCAGCCTGTTTTTTTAAGGCAAGGAAAGAACTTGTTAGACAAGTTGTCAGTCGATGTCAAATACCACAAATCTTGCTTGCTTTCCTGCTTGGATTTTATAAAAAGATCAATAATTAACTTATGGCAAAATAATGATTATAAGCATCTATGTTGTGCTTTATGTTCTTCCAAGCACACCAAGTACAGTACAAAACCTCTGTCAGGTAAGTCTACCTTACTATGGCCATATCTGTGAAGGGGATCAGAAAGTATTGAGGTGTGCCAGGAGGCTTGAAGTGACATTTGAATCAGTAATATCAGTTTGCAGGATTGTCTAAACCTGTTCTTCTAATTTCCCCTCTGAAACCATAAACAGGGACTCAAGCTCTGCAGCAAAACTTGAAGGGCATAAACTGAATCCATCCAAATTAAATAGGAAGAATGCTTCTATACGGAATGAAAGGTTTGCACATTTAGTCCTGTTATTTTGGAAGGGATTTAATACTGGCACTCACAGACATTTCTAACAGCTGTTTCATAGAGATTCAATCAATTTTTGCTTACCTTTCCTGCAGTTGCCATTGTATGTCGGAATCGCAGCTTTATGCTGTGGACAGAGTTCTCAAGGACTTGCTGCTTTCTTGCTTCCTTTGTCTCCAGCAGGAAGACAAATACACCCAAACATTTTTTTCTCTTTTTGCTCCAGTGTGCACAACACTCACATTGTATAATCTATGATAAACCAATGAGGAAAAGGGAGGGCCCATTGAGAGCTGTGCTACAAAGTTTTCCAGTGCCCCACAAAGTTTGGATTCATACTATTCTTATCTTCAAGCACAAAGTCAATTATTGGGAGAGAAGACAGGATCTACAAAATATGTATAACTTGTCTATTCTCTTGGTCAGAATATGTAGACTGTAATTTTTACAGAAAAACATAGTATAAATTACATAGATTTATGCATAAGCCATCTGATCTTAGATGCTAAGCAGGGTCAGGCCTGGTTAGTATGTGGGTAGTTTTCAGGTTGGAACGAAAGGATTGAAGGGTAGGGGCTGATCTAATCTCTTTTTGGAGGGTATTCCAGAGCTAGGGGGCCACCACAGAGAAGGCCCGCTCTCTCGTCCCCACCAACTGTGCTTGAGACGATGGTGGGACCAAGGGGAGGGCCTCCCCTGTTGAGTATGATGGCCTTCCAAGTGTAGGGTCTTGGTGGTGGATTTGTAGGTGACTGTAGAGTCCTATTCTTGACCCACATGTTCTTCCACAGTGACGGTATATGTTCTGTATCCAGAGGCGGCCCTAGGTAATTTTCAATGGTAAGCAAACGGTATCCCCCCCCCCCCAACCAATCACTGATATGTATTTTCTGTTTATCGTGGGAGTTCTGTTTGCCATATTTGGTTCAGAATGCTCTTTGATTGTAGGTGAACTATACATCCCAGTAACTACAACTCGCATATGTCAAGGTCTGTTTCCCCCCAAGAGCGCCTCAAGAGCGCCCCTGGGCAAAATAAACTATACTGCAAATGCTTTTTTTGCGTAATGGGTTGAGCCGCCCCTGTCTGTATCAGAAACTAGAGTTGATGTCATCTATTCAATGTGGTCTATCCAATGCAATTTGATGTTGCATTTGGTCTATCCAATGCAGAGTTGATGTGGTCTATCCAATGCAATTTTCTGAACCAGCACTCCAGAAAGCAAGCTAAACTTGACCAAAAACTGATTCGTAACCCTTGGTACCAATGTTGGAGAGTGGTCCCTGGTCAAGAAAAGGTTGGGAACTACTGCTATAAATCGATAGGTGAGTTGGAGCCATGCAGAGAGAGACCCTACAGATTTCGGAGGTATAAAATAAAATACAGTGCTCCCTCACTACTTCTCAGCTCGCTTTTCATGGACTCGCTATTTTGCGGGTTTTTGCGGTACTCATACACACGTAGTACATCCGCCATTGGCCCACAGCCCTGCCAGCGGTCATTCCCAGCTTGTTTACCCTACCGGGCTGCCAATGAGGCTCAGAGGTGAGGCTGCCTCCCAGTTTATGACAGGTTGATGTTGTCCGGAGCGGCGTTATAATCCCATCTCCTGGCAATAATGGAGCGTGGAAGGGCGTTTCACCCTCCCACTCAGGAGAGAGGCAGCCAATCAAGGTGGCTGTGATTTACATATTGTTTTGAGGAGCGTTTTCATTCATAAAAAAGAGAGAGGAGATACAAAGCTGTATGTACATCATGGCCCTAGAGCCCCTTCCTTATAGCTAGCAAAAAAAAAAAAAAAGGTGTGTGGTGCCTTTAAATCTCTCCTCGGAATGTGATATATATCTATATCTATCTATCTATCTATCTATCTATCTATCTATCTATCTATCTAGTCCCTACTTTGCGGATTTTCATTTATTGTGGGTGGTCCTGGAACGTAACGCCCACGATAAGTGAGGGAACACTGTACAGATGTCAAGAAAATCAAAACCAGGAGAGAGAGATTCTATCACCTCTCTTTCAAAAAGACTGGTTTGATCCACTTGTTATTTAGAATGTTTTGAAAATTGGATTACAATGTCCCAAATCCTCCAGACCACATGACCACTAGGATTAAGGGATTAATTAATTTTTCCCATCACGTTTGCCATGATAAATGTATGTCACAATACTAAACGTATAAAAGGGCTGACTGGGCCAGATTTGGCACGATCCTTGTCAAAACCCCTTTGGGAGAACCGCTCTCAAATAGGGCTGACGTGGAGGCAATGCTGGCATTTATGAACTGACATTTTAAATTTCCTACAATACCTTCCAATTATGCAATTTAAGGGAGATGTTGACAAGCTGGAATGTGTCCAGAGGAGGATGACTAAAATGTTCGAGGGTTTGGAGAGTAAACCCAATGAGGAGCAGCTTAAAGAGTTAGGCATGTTTAGCTGTAGAAGAGAAGTCTGAAAGGAGACATGATGAGGGCCATGTATAAATATGTGAGGGGAAGTAATAGGGAGGAGGAGCTGCCCTGTTGTATAGGACGCAGAACAATAGCTTCAAACTACAGGAAAGGAGATTCCACCTGAATATTAGGAAGAACTTCCTAACTGTGAGAGCTATTCAGCAGTGGAGCTCTTTGGAGGCTCCTCCTTTGGGGGCTTTTAAACAGAGGCTGGTTGGTCAGCTGCCAGGGGTGTTTTGAATGCGATTTTCCTGATTCTTGGCAGGGGGTTGGACTGAATGGCCCATGAGGTCTCTTCCAACTCTAGGAGTCTATGATTCTATGCTGTGTAAGCCGTAGCAAACTACTGGAAGCGAGAGCGAGCTTGTGCTCGAGCTCTCTCCGACCCCTCCTTTCCCCCCCCCCCGAGGCTGCTCTCTCTCTCTTGCTAGTGTGCCTGTTTTCCCTTGCTAGGGAAGCGATGCGAGTGTACTCTCGCAGTTGGCAGAATTCAACTGTGAGCGTACGCTCGCATCCCTGCCCTCTGCAATGGAAAACAGGCACGCTAGCAAGAGAGAGAGCAGCCTCAGGGGAAAAAAGGCGGGGCTTCGGAGCAAGCCCGAGCGCAAGCTTCCTGTAGTTTGCTGCGGCACGAGCGTATGCTCGCAACGCTGCCCTAGCAAAGGGAAATAGGCGGAGAAAGAGGCGGAGCATCGCTCGTGCTGGCTTAGTTTGCTCTCGCAAAATCCTAGTTTGCTACGGCTCTTGAATCTTAGAGCCGTAGCAAACTAGGATTTTGCGAGAGCAAACTAAGCCAGCACGAGCGATGCTCCGCCTCTTTCTCCACCTATTTCCCTTTGCTAGGGCAGCGTTGCGAGCATACGCTTGTGCCGCAGCAAACTACAGGAAGCTTGCGCTCGGGCTTGCTCCGAAGCCCCGCCTCCCCCCCCCGAGGCTGCTCTCTCTCTTGCTAGCGTGCCTGTTTTCCATTGCAGAGGGCAGGGATGCGAGCGTACGCTCACAGTTGAATTCTGCCAACTGCTGTTTTCCATTGCAGAGGGCAGGGATGCGAGCGTACGCTCACAGTTGAATTCTGCCAACTGCGAGAGTACACTCGCATCGCTTCCCTAGCAAGGGAAAACAGGCACACTAGCAAGAGAGAGAGCAGCCTCGGGAAAAAAGGCGGGGCTTCGGAGCGAGCTCGAGCACAAGCTCGCTCTCGCTTCCAGTAGTTTACTACGGCTCTTAGAAGCACTGAGGGAAACTTATATCGGTTTCTCATGGATCTAAGTAAGTCGAGCCCGATATTGCACAGTCATACTGCTTAACTGCCATAAATCTATCCTATAGAATCGTGGATTTTTTTTAGTTTCACAAAGTATTTGGAATTCTCTGAAGAGGGCTCCTGTTATGAAGTCTATTTGAGTGAACTAGAGAATTTTAAGTACTACTTTACAAAACTATAAATCCCAAGCTATGACAGGAAGGGCACTGAGTGTGAAAGTAGTATCAAACGGCTATAATTTTGTAATGTGGATACTACCTTGGCAACTTGAAGCAAGAAGCATCAAGTAGTATTGAACACTGGTAGGGCATTCGGCTGACCTAAGACAGCGTTTCTCAGCCTGGGGGGTCGGGACCCCTGGGAAGATCATGAGGGGGTATCAGAGGGGTCACTAAAGACCATCAGAAAATACAGTATTTTCTGTTGGCCATGGGGGTTCTGTGTGGGAAGTTTGGCCCAATTTTATGGTTGGTGGGGTTCAGAATGATCTTTGATCGTAGGTAAACTATAAATCCCAGCAACTAAACTCCCATATGTAAAGGTCTATTTCCCCCCAAATTCCACCAGTGTTCACATTTGGGCATATTGAGTATTCGTGTCAAGTTTGGTCCAGATCCATCATTGTTTGAACCCAACGTGCTCTCTGGATGTAGGTGAACGACAACTTCAAAACTCAAGGTCAATGCCCACCAAACCTTTCCAGTATTTTTTGTTGGTCATGGGAGTTCTATGTGCCAAGATTGGTTCAATTTCATCTTTCCGAATGCTCTTTGATTGTAGATGAACTATAAATCCCAGCAACTACACCTCCCAAATGTTAAGGTCTATTTTCCCCAAACTCCACAAGTATTCAAATTTGGGCATATCGGGTATTTGTGCCAAATTTGATCCAGTAAATGAAGATACATTCTGAATATCAGATATTTACATTACGATTATTAACAGTAGCAAAATTACAGTATGAAGTAGCAATGAAAATAATGTTATGGTTGGGGGTCACCATGATGCGAGTAGCTGTATTAAGGGGTTGTGGCATTTGGAAGGTTGAGAATCACTGACCTAATGTCTTGACATGTGCCCCAAAGTGATGTCAAGCTAGGAACAGATTTCATTCTCACTCAGACCCCTTTCACACAGCTGAATAAAATCCCACATAATCTGATTTGAACTGAAATATATTGTAGCGTATATCCCAGTTCAAAGCAGATGTTGTGGGATTGTCTTCCTTGATATTCTGAGTTATATGGTTGTGTGGAAGAGCCCTCCAAAACACCTAAGTTGCACTGATAGACTAGCCCTTTCACTGCATATTCACTATTTATCTTAACCCTGGATTTTAATCTTATTAGTTTGTGTTGCATTTCCTTACACATGGGTTCCCTAGAAACTTGTACATTTAATCCTTGTCATATAAACATTTTTTAAACACTAACTAGTTCCCTATCAGTTTGGCCAAATAAAACAGTCTGAGGTCTAGTTCTACCGGCAGTCAGTAGACAAAAGCGCCACGTGAAGGAAAAAAGATCAGT